TTCCATTAGACTTAATATTTAATGAATCCACTGAATGAATGTGTACTCAAAGTTGATGTGATATCTAATGGTAAGGTGGAGTTATACACACCTGCACTTTAGGAAAACACAATAGTACAGCAGAACTCTGGTCTCAAAGTTTTCCCCACAATTTTAAAATGATTATTAGCAGCTGAGCACAAAATGGGAACAAACCCCAACGATTTAAGTTTATCTAAGAGGAAGCAGGGGAATGCTTAATTTCATATAAGATGACTAAAGCAAAATTCATATTCCTTTGAAACTTCCTTTTTTCTGAAGGGATATGAATCACAGTGCATAAATACATCGATGGTAATACAGAAACCTTTCCAATGTATAAAAGGAGGGTTTCATTTATGATCTGAAGAGATGTCAAAGTAATTGCTGTGGTGGGTTTTGGGTTTAAATCCTAGGAGCAAACTTGTGCTGCACAAGTCACACATCAAAGCCCTGCCAAGAGAGAATCCACTGTGTATTTAAGATGGTTTCATCTTCTCCACAGGAGTTAAACTGCAAAATGGGTAAGAGGAAAGAGGGAGTTTAGAACTCCTGTGGAACAGTCAACTTGGCAGTGGTTGATAAAACAAAAGGCTCTTGTAAACCTAGTGTAAATGTTTTAAAAACTCTCAGTACTTATCCATTATTCACAGTTCCATGTAGTATTTATGGTGACAACATTCTGGGTTCAGAGAGCTGGGAGCTTCCTTTTGGCCTCTTACAGTAAAACTCCCTACCTCAGTTTGAGTCTTTCACGCCCTGTGCACTTTGGAAGAGAAAGAGAAAGTTTGTTTCAAATACAGTAAGTGCAGGCACATTGAGGTTGGAATGCAGGAAAATGTTTCTAGTTGATACTGTTTCTTTCACCTTCTTTTTTCCCACTTGGCTAGAGAGTAACAGCCCTTCGTTTTTTGCCAATAATAGGTAACCCTTGTTGATCTCCCCTTAGAGGTTAGTCCAGAGCACTGTAATGCATTTTTATACCATTTTCCCTTAAAATGTTTGTATTCTTTTATTTTAATTAATAAAATAGTAATGATTATTTCTGTAATGACTATGGGAACCTGGGCAACAATAAAAAACTAGCAAATTTGGTCTCTTCTCAAACTTTGCCCATTTAAACTGTATTAGCAGTTTGCATACATCAGTGTGGATAAATGACAACTGTCTGGGAAAAGTACCCAAACCAGAATTCAACCTCTCATGGTGTACAGGTGGAAAAGTGATGCTCTGTTGCTTAAAGAGCAGGATCAAGAACATTTCTGTCTGTAATTCTTTTAAATTTTTATACAACTTTAAAATTACTTATTCCTCTTAAAATGGGAACAAAAGTACTTAGATGGCTCTTTATTTTTTTTAATGTGGTTTATGCAAGAGCTGTAGTGTTCAGCAGTTTAGGACAAATAATGTCTATTGGACCAAATATTTTTATACCTTTTTACAATTCACTCAACTGTCTGAATTATGCTGCCAAAAACGTTTGATGGTTTGCTACCCAAGCAGAGCTCCAAGCATCTCATGACTTTACTAAGTTGAGCAGCAGGAAGCCTCAGACACAGCACCAGGCACTGCTAAGCCAGACTGCAAGAGCAGGAATACAGCACTTGCTGACATGTATCCATAATGAATGTCTTTATCAACATAAAAAGATGGAGTGAATGTGCATTACCTTTGGTCTATGACACAATTTTAAATGTTTTTATGTAAATTGTTGGGGAGAACGTCAAACTTGTTCACCAATGTGTGCTCCTACAGAAAATTAATAAAGGAGGGGACTTACAAAAATAATCACTTTACCTATGACCTTTTAAGGCTTGATCCTGAGCTTAAAAACTTAACAATTACAAGATAATTTATATACATTATAGATTCAAACCATTGGTTTACAGCAAGTTATAATCCCACAACCAATAATTACATCTCTGTACCTCCTGGGGGTTAATTGTATCATCACTTTTCTTTGTGCCAACACTTCCTCACTGTTCCACAAGTACCAACCCCTTTATCTCCCCAATTATCTATCTGACTAATAGAAGCTAAACTTGGAACTAAGTTTTTCAATCCATATTTTATTTTCCAACATTTTTATCAACATCAGGTCCCAAAAGCCTGAATACCTTAAATTTTATCTGTTTTTCAGCCAATGGAGTGCTGCATCTCTCTGTGAATCTTGGGCTTGTCATGTATATAAATAGAAATCATGTAATTGTTACTTCTTACTAGAGAGAGAAAAAAAAAAAAAATCAATGTTTTAAACTGAAAGAACTAAAATACATCAAAATACTTGGCAGTGTTTTGATGAGCATAAAAGAAGGGCAATGTCAGCTTCACTCTCATTAAATGAGCAGTGAGACAATCTGTTAAGCAGCTCTGATTAGAAGTGCAGCAAATCTCAGTATCCAGTGCTTGCCTGAAGCAGTGTCTGCAGACAAGGGATGTCCTGTGGCCAAGGATCCTTTTTCCTTGTCCTTCAGACTGATAGGTTGGGAATCTAAAATATCCCCGTAGAAATGGTTCCCATCACTGAATTTTAATCTGCCAAACTGACACAGAAAGGACAGGATATCCATCTTCAGCCCAGCCGAGTGAATAAACTAAACTGCAGCAATCAATCATGCTCTGTGCACACGAGATTCTGCTGTGATGGGGGGAGATCACACAGCAAAGAGGCAAAGGGAACTGCAGCACCTGCACTAAATACTCTGGAGAAGAGAAAGAAAACCTAAGAATATCGCAGAATTATTTAATAAACGCAGGTCACCAGTGGAAAAAAATGCTTCAGGTTACAAACGGTGCCCCTGACTGAAATGACTGCAATTAAAACCAGGAATTATCGCTCAGATTCACCACACGGTGGCACCTGGGACCTGGGAGCGGGGCGAGGAGCGCAGCCAGCGCCCAGGGCTGCCGGCTCAGCGCGGCTCCGGGCCACGCACTCGCCCAGGGCCACTGCAAGAGCAGCACAAGAGATTAATACAGCCCGCTCCATTGAAAAGGTTTAAAACACTCACACATTTCTCACAGCACTGCATGTAACAAAGAAATTAACTTCAACCTCGTTTCATTGTACGCAGCATCCTGTGACTGAGCTAATGGAAAACAGCAGCCTTGGGGATGATTTCCAGGGAACAGCACCTGTAAGGCTTTAAAAGACTCTCGAGCAACGTCCAGTCATTCTAAATTACCACCAAGATATGCTGCAGACAGCACAGACAAATTTTGAGAGCAGCTTGGGAGTGTCCTTGATGCAATTTATCCACTCTTCCCACACTGCTTGAGACAGTCTAAGAACAGTCCTTGGCAGCAGAATTGACTCTGTGGTATCTGGATTGCTTAGAGTTTGCCCCACAATATTGATGTGTCTCTTCCTGACAAAGCATAATTCAGTCACTTCAGACCTGATCTATTTTAATGCAGTACAAGTATCCTGCATCCTTTGCTATTAGGCTGTTTTATTTGTCATTTGTTTATAGCATTTAATTATTTATGCTGTTGAAAGTATTTTGCTTTAGAGAAGGATTTAAATGCAGGTACAGCACTTGTACCTTTCTCTGACCACGAAAGTCAATCCACAGGACAGGAGGATGAGTCTGCACTTCTCAGGACAGAGGAGAGTTTCTGCTTTCTGCCATCACCTGCCTCCCTTCTTTACTGTATGGGTCTGGATCAAGAGAAAATGACAGAATTAAAAGTTCTTGGCAACTCCTGGCTGTTCTGAGAAGCCCTCACTTGTGCCACAACTTGTAAGGCAAAGCCAGTGATAGAACTGAGGTAATATCACCATTGTACAGATCTTTTTTCCTGCAGTGTATCACCCTCATCCACAATGATTATTATTATTATCACTAATAGTAGTAAGACTGTCTGAATACTTCACTTATTTTAACTCCTGTTATTAAGAAGACTATCTACAACATGTAATTCTGGTTAATCATCAGATGAATTACCATAGTCATATACTGTCCCATGGAAAAATGAAAAAAAAGAAAATCCAAGAACAATGTAAAACTAATCTTCATTATAATCTTCACTCAGAACTGTAATCTCATTACTTCAGGACCATTCAAGTATAACAGCAGTTTTAAATTCAAAGCATGTTCCTTACCAAAAAGAAATCTAAATTACACTCTGTGATTCTAACTAATGCAGTCTAATATTTATGTAATGGTAGCTTAAGAAAACAGTTCTGGATTCTGTAAATTATGTGGGCTAAGAGTTCATTTTTACTTGAACAGAAAGATTAGATGGATGTTAAATCATGTTAATTCCCTCTGGAAAAAAAGAAGGAAAGAAACCTTAGACTAATATTAATTACTGCACCCTTCCAAAGAAACACACTCACGCTCAAAAAAATTATTGTTAATGAGACAGCTAGGCAGATGTTCCTGAAAGAGGATAGAAAAATAAGCATACGAATTACATGAGAACAAACACAGAACATTTTTTCTCCTTGTGGCTATATGGCTTTAAATGTATTATAAAAAAGGCTTCAAAAGTGTTAGTTCAAGAAAAGCTGAAAACTGTACTTGGCATTGAAAGAGAAGATGCTGAGTACACCATAAGATTGAATAGAAGCACATTTTAACAATCCAAGAAACAAATATTTTGAAGTAGGCAATGAACAGAGAAAGAATATTTTGAAGAGTGCTTGGGATCATTTAGGTGATACTGGGACAGGCTCAGCTCTGCAGTTCAGGCAGCCCTTCCTCAACCACAGAATGCTAAAATAGGGCTGAAATGGAGCTATTGAAACAAGGCAATTAAAACAGCCACATCCATTTACATCCACTCCCATCCCATCCCCCCTAGAGAACTCCTGCAGCTTCCACAGAGAACATTCAATGGAGACACCCTCAGGACAGGCTGCCTGGAGAATGTGCCCCAAATATCAGGAATTGGTTTCAGGTACATCCCAACATGCACGGTGGAGGTTTTGGAACATCATTGCTTCAGATCCTTAACAAAAAAGACATCGTGGTTTGTTGGTTTAAGAAAAAGAAAGAGTTTATAGTCACCACATGCTCATGATTCGTCTCAGTAATCTTTAATGGCAGCTAGAAGCTACAGATTTATAAATATCTCTTTTTCATAATTGTGACAAGCAGTGACTAGATGCAGTTTTGGTGGAAAATTTTCTGAAATACTGTAAGGCTAGGTAAATTACAAGGCATTATTAGAAAATGTTGATTTTGACTTTTGGTGATATTACATTAACTTTTACAAACATTAGAAACAAACATTATTTGGTGAAATAGAAACATTGCAGAAGACACTACAACCAAAAGTAATTTACTAGTCAAGTACAGAGTTAAGTGACTTTTTTTTTTCCAGAATGAAATCACAGTAAATCAAAGAAACAGTAATAAACACCTGCATGTTGAAGAACATTCTCTTCAACAGACAGAACCTCTATTTGTGTAACACTACAAGGGAGGAGTTGGGTTTGCTCAAACCTCTCCAAGAACAGCAATTCTGTCACAGCAATTTTCCTGCAGCACAACCTGGATTCGTGTCCAGATGTTGGCAGGTTTTGCACCAAGGGTGCCCCTCCATGAAGGAGGCACAGGAGGTACACAAACATTTTTATAACACAGTTCAGAAACTTGACACACGAGTAATCCCAGCCAATTTTAGTTTGACTATTTTCGATAAGCTTTAAAAACACATTTATAAGCTCTTTGCATTTAAAAGTGTAGCACAATTTGGCTTTTTGTTTTAAGATACAGAAATACAAAAATTTTAAAACTCACAACAGTAACACAACTTTTGTCCTAGAAGGTGATAAGTGTAACATATGAGACTTGATTATGCAATGTTATGAAATATTGTCTTCTTATTGTTATTCAGAGGAATTTCTTATGATTTAGTGAAGTCAGGTTGGACAAAACAGAGCCTAAAGTTGTAACACCATTTAAGACACACAGTTTCCTTAATGACACTTTAAACAGAATATTCTATACATAACACACTGATACATGAACCACACTAATCAAGTTAATCCCTATAAAAACAGATGCACCATAGAATTGCATAGAAAGAAATCCCTGGCATTAATAGCTTGCACTGGAGACTAGGACTTTCTCCCTGCCTTTCTAGATCAAAGCACATATGTTTTGTAAAAGCACAACTCACACTTGACATTATTCTTAGCTATATTCTTTGGAATCACTAGTGCATATGTTATTTCAAGCAATTTTTATACTTCATGCTATTGTTTAATATCAAAAAACTGAAAATTGCAAGGAAAACATTTCCCTGCCTTCCCCTCCAGAAATGTAATGTAAAATAATCTTCCTATGTAGCATAAAAATAAAATCAGATCTTTCCTCAACAACAGAGGCTTCAAGCAAAAGCCAGAGTGATCAATGAAGAGAATATTCACACAAGATGGGGAAACCCAATGTCAAAAATCCTTTCTGTGAGAGTATGTTCAAGCAGTATTTGTAAATTGGATAAAGAAAACCTTCAAGCAATAGCCAATGATTTTATAGCTCAGTATCCACTTTGCTCATGGAAGACCAACATTCAAGCCCATACATAGATGTAAGGAAATACTCTTACCACTTCTTTATTTTAGGGCAATTCTCTCCTATCAGCTGAACCTGAGAAAACCTTCACTGAAACAGGTGTGTTTCCCTGAACAAGTTTAATTTTGAAATACACCACTGTGTTCCATTTTAAATAAAATACTGCTCAGTTCTACATAGGAACAGTGGGCTTTGTTTTACAGAAATATTCACTATATTTACTTCTTGCCTTGAACTATTTAAGTTGGAAAATCCTTAATTTCAGTGCTCAAAAATATTTCCATTCCATTAAGTAATCCTTCCATTTACTCCAAGCATGTGCACGTGGAGTACCTACAGGAAACAGAATTACTGAGGATTTGCCAAAAAAGCCATGCAGAATAGCTGGAAGGTAAAAGTAATTTACTTCAGATATTCCTTGCACTGAGCACTTTTGTTTCATGATATAAACCCTGCAGACAGATTAAATCCATCAAAACATTTTAACAATATGCATTATGCAGCATCAGATAAGTAACAGTAGAAGTTGAAAAGACCAAGTCTCCATGAACAGATATCATAGAAAACTAGAACTTCTGGATTCAGATAGAATATATATTTAGAATATCTGTGCAAGAGGTGAATATATAAAACAAGTAAATTCTGCTATACTAACTATAGTCACAATTGGCTTCTTTTTTACTTAACTACATAAATGCAGAGGTGTACCAGGAAGACGTATTTCTGACTGACATTTCTTTTACTGTAATATGGGAATATATTATCAAATCCTTCTGGCTGCTATAGATACATGATTTCTGGCACAGCTAAAAATGTGTCAGGAATTAGGATTATTGTATTTTTGTAAAAATTTCATTTTAATGACAAGTTCATTAATGGACTTGTGGTGGGAGAGCTAAGGAACGCGTGAGCTTTATTTCTAGGAATGCTGAAAGGCACATACAAATTTTAATATATGATACGTTCAAAAAAATCAGATTCTGATTATTTCTGCAGGTTACTTTACATTAAAATTAGCAGCTGCTTGCCTGTTGGCATTATGGAAAAACATTTCACGTATCTGTAAAGGGATGATGCTCATGCATGAACAGACATTTGTTCATTCAAGTGATATATCTGCCCCTCATATCTGCTGAAACAACTGAGTGTGCACGTACTCTGTTGTTTACTGAGATACTGAAGCACACACATTCACATCAAAAAGTTACTTGCAAATGGTAAAAGGAGAAAAAAATAATTTACCTGAAATTATGTACATTTAGTGAAAATAAGTACAACACCTTCAGTTGCTGATTTTATGCTAATAAATAATATGTTTAGCTAGCTGAAATTTCATTAGCAGTCACTTAATAGTTCTCATTTGTTTTAGGATTTCTAATAATTAGGGTAAATCTCCAAATTCTTGCCACAGAAGGCATAGAATCACATGCAAAACCCCTACCAGTTCCAGTGTGAAGCAGCAAACATCCTTGTCTATCAGACATACAGTACAACTGGACTCGCTGTATAAATGAGCATTATAGTGCACATAAAATAACATGGCACATTTCACAAAGCTACATAAATGACAGACACATTTTTATACCTGCAGCAACATAAGCAATGAATAATTCACTTACAAGTGAAGTACACGACCTAAGGATTATTGCCTTGCCTAAACCATTCTGTATCACTTGGAAAGGGAGGTGGCATGGACCCCATTCATGCATATAAAACCATTTTTTCCAGAAACAGATTGGCTTGAAAATTTTCAAATATTTAACTTTGCTTGTGAAAGTTTTTCTTGAACAATATTCTTTAGAAATACAATTTTAAAAAGATGTTTCACTCAAGCTCCCAATAAAACAATTGGTGTCCTGCCAACTTGAAAATGACCCCCTTCAACACATTTTTCTCCTCAAAATCATTGTTTATGTATTATATAAATATCATTTGACGTTTCTATTTCATCTCCACTTATCACAATGCTTCTAGCAAGTGTTAGATGGAATAGATGAGTTCAGATTTAAATCTAAGGGACTGAAAACTACATGAAGTGGAAAAATACTCCCACCCATTGAACTGAACACGTGTTTGGAAATATGAATAAACCTTTCTCAGAAATAAATTCATGTGACAGAAGTGCAAATATGTAATCGAAGTAGTGCAGTTTTGGCATATGCTACTGATAATTTCCATGAAAACATCTCCATCTCCTTCCACAGACTTCATCAATATCATCAATAGCATTCTCTGGCCAAAGCTGCCTGGCTGCAGCCTTCCCTTTCCAGGCATTACAATGGAGCTGTCTCTAAATTTTCTACAAGACCATGTCTTTTCCTGGACTTGCACCTGTCTCATCAATAATCTCTGACCAAGCCCATAAAGTTACTCACAAAATTTAGGTTGAGATCAGGATTAATTTCTTGAAAGCTCAGGAGATTGTTCTGCAAAACACTCTACTGGTATTCTATGACTTCAAAAGGTTGAATATTCAGATTTGCATGTGGCAGATGTGGCCATAAATAAAAGAACAATAATATCTGAACAGTATTATAAAGCCATAGCCCAATTCTGCCTGTAAAATTCCAACCCAGAACAACAGTAAGTTCACCTAAGTCATGATAAAAAATAAAATACAACAACCTCCTTGTGCACTGGATACACATACATCCACTCAGGTAATCCAGATTGAAAATGTTTAAGCCACAGGTGCTAGAAGGAGATTTTAAATCTTTTTTAAAGACTTTTGGAGAATTTTTAGAGACCTACATACTCTGCATAAATCAAATGACAATGAAAACTGCCAATCACTGGAAAATAATTTTAGAGATCTAGAATTGCTTAGAGTTAAAAATGTTTTTTTTAAAAACACTGCCTGTGTTTTTTAAAGCCATTGAAACAATAAACAGGAAATCCTGTTAAAACTTCATAAGCAAAGTTGCAGCATCAGTTGATCTAAAATGCATAGAAACTACTTTTTTCTCCAAGCATTTTCATTAGTCCACATAACTGCTGTTGGTTCACTCTGTCAGTTAAAAAGGCCAAGCTTTGGAAAGCTACAACACGTAAATAAATGATGGTTTGCTATATTTCTACCAGGTTTCAAAGTGCTTTCAAATGGAGACAAGTCCTTTTCTTTCTCTCCAGTATTAAGGCTCTTATAAAAAGTAAAGTTCAACTAAAAGACACTTGGGCTTGCTTTATCAAATACACCACTTAGTATGTTTTAATCATGAACATTTTAAGACCCTAGTTGTGCAATTCTAGCTTGATAAATGTGTTCTAGTAACTCACAGAATCACTGTAATACAAGGTGGGGCCCTTAATATACTAAAATGTGAAATACTTAGTAGATGCTACAGATGACTGTGTATTTCTTTGAAGTTTGGTTTCATAACAATCACTATCAGGGATTAGAGCACTGACTGGGAAATTAAAACCAAGATACCAATATTACAGAAAGCAGTCTTGCTATTACTTCCATTAAAACAGAACCAGTAGTCTACAGAAATGAAATTAAATACTCTTTCTCCATTGAGTTTACAGACCTCTTTTTTTCCCCCAGAATTTATAAGTTTAATTATTCTGACTGAATCAGACCCTCAGGAGACAAAACTGTTCCCAATTCTCACCAGAGTCAAAAGGTTCTGTGAGAACTCATTACTCCACACATTACTCAAGCTGCTTGGGACACTTAACCCTTTCAAGAAACACAAAAATTCAGAAAAAAAAAATCACATTTCATCCCAAAACAACCTACAGAAAATCCAAAACCTAAAGGCCTGATCTTACAGCCCTTCACAACCAGAAAATCACAATGACATGGTTTTACCACTCTCAGAAGCTCTATTTGCAGAGGCCCCTCTCCAGCAAACACATACATGCCTCAATCCTGGAAAATTAGCACCCAGATTTGGCACCAGCACAACCTGTATTCAGCTGAACTCCTGAAAGAGCATGTTTAAAAAGGAAAATGCTTTGTTTAGCGCTAATATAGTTTAAAACATAACTTTGAAGGCAGAAGCCGATATGCTATGTAATTTTGATTGGTATACTTTTATATAGCAAGGTAGAACTTTCTTTGATTTATCTGATTAAACCTCACCAGTTTTGTGAAATCCATCACTTACTGAAATTATTACGAATAATTTGGAGCAGGAAATTCAGAAAGCAGGCTCCTGCACTGACACTGCTTAATTAAACTGTTAACAGGAATAAAAATGAAGGTGTTGCTCCCGATGCAGACTGGAATTACGGATTCAACTCTTGCCGTCTCTCGCTCCTTTGGTGCAATTCCACGACTTTCCTGCTGACCTGAACACAAGCAGCTTTGTGGGACCAATCCTACTGAAACAAACACCAGATCCTGACAAACTTTTCCATCAATGTACCACATGAATTCTAAACCAAAACACTTTCTTTAAAATATCCCTCAGTGAATTGCGCTTCAAATAGAATGTGATGACCTTTTTTTCTTTCTAACTATGATTAAATAACCGAAATAGGGTTCAAATGTAAAAAACCCAAAACAAATCTTTGCTTTAAATCGAACACTTTCATTGCATAATGAAACACAGCTACGCCTTAGGGCATCCGTACTTTTGTCTTTTAGGGTTCAGAACGAATCTGTCCCTGAGCCTGCACTACCAGGCCCTTGACCCCGCGGGACAATTAACACGAGTGGGTCAGCGAGGCGCTGAGGGTGGATCCAGCCCCCGCTGGAGCCGGGCTTTGCTTGAGCAGGATTAGGCGAACAGGACGGAGGATGGCCCGTGGTAGTGCCCTCCGTGTAACCTGCTGAGGTGACAGCAGCTCAGCCTGACCTCCGGGGCCGGGAGGATGTGCACTCACCTGCGGATCCCGGTCCTGGCAGGCAAATCCCGCACATTCCCGGCTCCTGTCACCGGAGCCACGGCTGCTTTGGTGGAAGTCACAGTGCTCGGGACACTGAGAGGAGCCCGCCCCGGCCTCCCTGCCCACACCCTGCGAGAGCCTGGGGGGCGAGCCAGGGTTCCCCCAGCCCCGCTAGTGACACAGAAAACACAAATTACCCCTCTGTAAACAGAACTTGGGAAAACTCCTCCGGGCGGCTCGGGGGAGCGCGCCGAGCCCCCCCGGGAGGGTCCCCCCGGCCCTGCGCGGGCCCCGCGCCCCCCCGGTTCAGATGAAGTGGATCCAGGCGGAGCTGTCGGGGTCCTGCGGGGGCCCTACGGGCAGGACGCGCTGCCGGCCCCGCAGCCGGTAGTTCTTGCCTTCGTTGTTGTCCCAGTACTCGGCGCCGGCGACGCGGTAGCGGACGGCGAACTCCAGCGTGGTGTCGGCGGCGGCGGCGCCCAGGGGCAGCAGGAAGGCGAAGCGGTCGGTGATGCCGTCGGCCGGCCCGGGCGGCTGGTACGTGGCGGCAGCCTCAGCGCAGCTGGCCCAGCCATTGAGCGTGTAGCGCACCGACACGACCTTCTCGTAGGCGAGGTTGAGGACGCGCACGGCCCCGCGCAGCCCCGCCGGCTCTGCCCGCACCCACTCCAGCCTCACCTTGTGCTGCCGCACCCGCTCCGCGAAGCCGGGGCTGGCGCCGGGCTGCGGCGGGAACAGCGGCTCCAGCAGCGGCGGCGGCGGCCCGAACAGCACCGGCTCCAGGTCGCCCAGCGCCGGCGGCTTCCTGGTCTTGAGGAGGTCGGCGGGGCGCGGCGTCGGCGGCGCGGGCAGCGGCACCCGCGGCAAGTCGGCCTCGCAGAAGAGGTGCACGGAGGTGAGCTCCAGCCCCAGCGAGTCGGCGAACCGCACGGTCTTGCGGCGAGACGGGCTCTGCTGCAGCGCGGGGCGCAGGCTGCGGTCGCCGGGCGTGGGCAGAGACTTGGCTCGGCGGCGCTGCGTGGGGCTGGGGGGCACGGCTGGCAGCGTGGGCTCCCGCCCGCGGGTCGGCGGCGGCTTCTCGCTGGCCGCTTCCCGCACCACGGGCGTGGGCGCGGCGTCGCCGTCGGGGCTGCAGCCCGCCCTGCACTGCTCGGCCAGGCTGCCATAGAGGCAGGCGCTGCAGCTGAAGTTGCGCGGCAGGTAGAGCCGGGGCGGCGGCCCGGGCACCGAGCTGTGCAGCGAGCCCGCCTTATCCATGGGGTGCCGGCGGGAGCGGCGGCGGTGCCGGCGGCTGGCGCGGCACCCGGGGCTCCTCCTCTCGGACCGCGGCGTGCGGATGGCTAGGCGGTGTTAGCGCCCGGCCCGCGGGCTCTGTCTCTCGCCCGGAGCCAGCGGGATGCCCTCGGCGCTGTCCAGGTCGCGGCCGGCCCCGGGGGATGCCGGCGGGTTCATGTGTGCGGGGGCGGCGGCGGGACCGCGTTGCTCTGGCTGCTGCCGCTGGTGACGTGCCGCGGTCAGGCAGCGACACCCGCCCCGAGCCATCCTTCCTTCCCCATGGCTCCCGCCCGCCTCGGTGTCGGCCTCGCCGCGGTCCCTAACTACACCCTGCGCCTCCCCCTTCTGCTCTCCCCAGCACCGCGGCTACGCCGTCCCTCTCCTCCTCCTCATCCGCCTCCTCCTCCCCACTCGCTCTGTTCTGGGTCTTTCCTCGAGGATCTCATCCAAAAGGAGGAGGCGGCAGGGATTCCCCAGTGGAAGCATTAAAATTCATAGCGGCGCTCTCGCTCGTCCGATGCCGTTACAGAAATAGCTGTGAGAGGAAGAGGCAAAGCCGGGCTCGGGAAGATTACATGGGCCGATAAGAAACAGCTGGCTTGCAAGTTGGATCTCACAGTATACATTTAAAGGAAGAAATCCAGCTGATCTGCTATAATGCGTTTACCGTACATCTGCCGAATAAAATACACCTGCCGCAGTCCGGCCACGCGCCTCCATCGGGGGTAGAAGGAGCTCCGGCCGAAACAAGGGGGGATGATGGTGTGAAACATAAACCACGCTGCCTCTTGCCAGAACAGCATTTGGAAATTGCTGAGCAATATTTAAATAAATTCCAGTTTAATGACAGACTCTGGTGTAGCCGGTTCAAAGAGCTAAACCACCACTTTAGTAAGCCGCTTCATTCCAGACTTTCCGTAATCTGGGACTCATTATTAATTAGTAAATGGCATTAAAAACAATGATCCTACCATCCTGCCAGAGCCTGACCCTGAACTGCGTTGACATGTGATTCTGATTTAGCTTCTGAGCAGGAGCTTTTTACACCTCTAGCATTTTATCTGCAGCACTTGGTGTTCCTTTGACAGTCTAGGCAGTGGAAATGCGGCTGATAAGATTAAGAATAGGACAAGTAAACCTGATAAGGACTAAGAGGAAAAAAAACCCAAAGCCACCAGCAGAACCCACGGAAAAGTAGCTACCCACTGTCTCATATTAGAACAATCAGCTTTAATTCCTTTACTAGTAAGTATGAAAATAGTTCTTAGGTTATTGCTGCTGGCTTCCAAATCGTTTTAATGACAGATGATTCATAGGTAGGGAAAATTATGCCCATCGGTATTAAATTTGACACCATTATGTTTCATTGTGTCACTGTCTCATATTTGCAGCCTGATTACAGGTTTCACAAAATCAAATAGTAACAACGTAAGTAAGTACATCTGAATTCATTAGCCCAGAATCTTTAAATTGTCTCACTTGTCCTTTAATAAACACCATGGGAAAGATTTTTTTTTAGGTCTCTTTCCTGTGTCTCCCTCACAGAAATGAGTATTTCAGTAAAACAACATGAACTCATGTCTGGTTTTCATCTACTCATATTAATATGGAGCAGAACAAGAACAGACTCAAGTAATTGTTCAAACAGGTTTTAAGGCTACATCCTTTTGAATTATTTTTTCCGTAATTTCTCTCTGTCATAATTAACATTTTAAAATGAATTAACACTTGTTTTTGCTGATGTTCATTTTAAATCAAGTAGCGAGAACTTTATTTTTTACATCAATATATGCAGTCTTTGCATTTTTATACCACTGTGAAACTATCAGCACCAGTAAGCTAAATTGGTTCAAACCAAATTACACAGTCAGGTCTGGATGTTTTAGTGGTATGCCTGGGAACACAACTTTGGAATAATTTAGCTTCTGTTGTACTTTACACAATAGGGGTACCCTTGTAAAGTTTCATTTCCCGTCTTCTGGTAATGTTAGTTGCCCAACTTCTTATCATAAACTTGTGTAATACTATTGCTTTTTGGCTTTCTCCTCTTTCCTTCCACAACCATGCTATTTCATGGAACCAAAAACCCCAACTTCCTTCTTCTCTGGTGATTGCAGGTCAGGTAGTTCATGTGACTGAGTTGAAAATACATATTCCTCCAAAGTATTAAACAAAAAAATAGCATAAAACCTCAGAAACTACAGTGAAAAGAAAGAACAACCCCCCCCAAACCAACACAATAAGCTTTGGACTAGCCAGATCGAGGCAACATGAGATACAGGGGCACCTCAGCCTTGTCTCAAGCACTGTCACTGTGCAAACACCACTACAATTCTCACAATGGTATTTCTCTTTTCTCCTCTCAATCCAAACATTCCCAGCAAGTCTCACTGAATCTGAGGATGCTGCTGCTTTCTTTTTACTCTTGCTTGCTTGCCAAGTGTGCTGTGGCAACTCTTACCCATGCTTTCACTTCTGAGGGTGTCCTTACTACCATGCTGGTCTGCCCCTTCTGATGAATTTTAAGACAGATGCAGTAAAGGAAAGTCTTGAGTACTGAAATTTAACACATATACACACAGACATTCCCTCAAATAGCCTGCAGCCTTGTGCATCCTTCTGTGATGTGGAAACTGTGGTTTGAGTTAAAGATGGGAAGCATCAGGCACCATTTGTGAAAATAAATTTAAAAAGAAAATTTGGGTTTGCCTACTATAAATATTTGTACACAGCAAATGCTGAAATCCTTAGAAGCAAGTAAGCACTACCACACACAGAAACTATGGTTTAATGTATGCAGTAGTAGGCAGCCATCCACCACCCCCTCTCAATCTTAATTTAGTTCATAAAATTTTGAACACTGAAGTTTCAAAGCCTAATCTCTCTCTGCTTTTATAGTGCCGTGGTAAGGACATTTTTCAAGACTCTTTTCTAAATAATACTGCCAAAACCAAGCTGATACAGAAATCATTAGTACTGCCCTAGCTATCCCCTTTAAAGAAATACCTATTATCTTTTTGCTGGAAGGTAGTATTTTTATGACAAGATAATTTAGAAGGTGCCAGCATTAACGGAGACAGCATCTTGTAAATTCTACAGCTATGCAGCTTTGCTCTATTATAAAGCAAGAAGAGCAGGTGGTCTAATATTGCAATTATTGTTGACAGCCTTAGGAAACGGCACTCAGGCATTGTTTTCATTCCTCCAGATTCCTCTCCCTCTGCAGATTTAAATAACACGGTTACAGGATAAAGGCTTGTCCTAATAACATTTTGGTGGCCTGTCTCTGCATCTTGAAGCTGACATTGACATTTTTAAAGACAACTTCTTGTTTGCCTATGTGAGCTGAGTGCCTCTGACATTTCTGCCATGCCAACGTGCAATTAAAATCTGTCTGATCCTTGAGAATTTCCAGCTAAATGTTTTGTTAAAAGATTTGCAAAGAAAAAGAGAGAACTGCAGCAGAAAGTGAACAGGGAGCTTTCTTCTGCTGCATTTACTGATTGTCTCGAGTCCAGGTAATCTAGGAGAAAGCAAACACCAGCGCTGAGGAGCATTAGGCAGAACTATGATGGAACCATTAATAGGGCAGAGTGTCTGAGTGCTGGGGCTTATCCAAAGTGGCCACTGTCACATGTCCACTTTAACTTTCCAGAACAGGTTTATATTTAGCAATGAGAACTGCAGGCAGATAAAATGGATGTAAAGGCGAAGTGCATTACAGTCACAGCAGCTTTGGAGATGAAGTTGTGACTCAGTACAAGAACTGTAAAGGTCAACTTCTACTCTCATTTGTATCTGTGCAGCTCCTCTGAAGCTTATGAACTATGTAGGTGTTACATGAGAATATCACTCCTGACTTCAATAATCTTATGTGACTACATGAATGTGACAATGGTATTTACACTGACAGTCTGTAAGCCTTGCGTGATAACAGTTGTTCTGCATGCTCCTACTTTAAAAATACCTTCCCA